ACAAAGTAACTGCAAAGCCATAAATGATCCACCATCATCCTGGTAGTTCACTCATGCTTTCTGGCAAACCTGCAGAACACACACACACACACACACAGACACCTGTCTCTTATACACATCTAGATGTGTATAAGAGACAGCCCATACGTTATGGCCGCGGGCAGTGTTGGAGCCACGAAACAAAAAAAAAAAACGGGCCACCGATTCAATTTATCAAAACCGGGCCTCCCCGCTTGGCTACCGCATTACCCGGAGTGTCTTAGATATCAAGCGGGGAAAGGTACTGGTGGTTAAAGAACTTTTTTTTTTACTGGCACCACCACAGGTTGCCTCCCCCTTTGAGGTTTCTGCCTTTTCCTTCCTTTCCCTGTCTAGAAAGAACCCCATACCCAGGTTAAGTTCCCTCCGCAAGCTTTCACCTTCCCGACATGCAATTCCGGCAAAAAAGCTTTTTTTTTTTTTTTTTTTTTTTTTTACGAAAAACAGCCCAAGTGGATGCTAGATGTGCTGAAAAGAGCAGACACCACTAGCATATGCTCGGGGAGGCTCCATCTATTGGTGGGGAGCCAGAAAACACACAAACTAATCCTCCGCCTCTGCCTCCTCTACCCGCCTCTTCTGCTCCTCCTCCTCCTTATTCCTGCTGCTCCACCTCCTCTTCCTGCTCCTCCTCCTCCTCGTTTTCTCTTCCTGCTGCTGCTGCTGCTCATCGCCGTGCTCCACCTGAGCGCCAAGAACTACAGCTCCGAGCAGGAGCACCGCCCTCCCCTGAACATAACACATGCGTTGCATTTGAATATACCAGCCATTCGAATAGAACGCGCGTGTGTTGTATTCAAACAGACAGAACCCCTGAACCTGTCTCTTATACACATCTAGATGTGTATAAGAGACAGGGTCCGGACTGTCCGGTGTCCGATGATGTCGGGATCACCGGACAGTCCGGACCGGTCCAGACACTGGTCCGGAAGACAGTCCGGAAGTGTCCGGTGTCCGGGTCCGCGGTTACCATGCTACAAAGAAGCTTTTTTTTTTTTTTAGAGAAGATTAGCGTGGCCCCTGCACTAGGATGGCACACAAAAAAAAGGGAAAAAAAAAACTGTTCCTCGGCCAAGGAGCGCAGAATTATGCCCACAAACCGGGCAGGCAAAATTGCGTATGCACCCCCTTCCTGGCCCACCTTGGCTCCCCGGTCGGCCCGGTCAGGCAAGGGTCAGCCACTGTTCCTGCAAAAGAAAAGAAAAAGAAAAAGAAAATCCAAAAGGTCGGAAAAAAAGAAACGCTATGCAGAAAGTGGCATACGACACAGTTTTTTTTTTTTTTTTACGACGCAGTTTTGGCCTCAGGCCACACCGAACTTCGTTACCAAATCCGGAAAAAAAAAATCAAGAAAAAAAAAAAAAAGCCAGGCAAGCGGTCCCAAGTCACTCTGGTAGCCTACATATGCACATAATTTGCCCGGGTATGTCCATAAGTTAATTGAGCACTTCGGCAAAAAAAAAACAAAAAAAAAAACAAAAAAAAACGGTACTATAACGGCGATTTGGCGGTACCATCCTTGGTCCACTAAGTCCTCCACTTGGTCCCCGGCATGGACATAATTTCCATAAGGCATTTCCTGTGTATAGATTCTGAGGAGTCTATACTACTCTATATAGCCTAGACTACTCTAAAGACACATGTCCGGCACTGTGGCTGCGTATAGAGGGAATTCCCATCGCTGAACAAGGCTTTTTTTTTTTTTTTTTTTTTTTTTTTT